GATTCCAAACAGCTTTTATCAAGTCCCAGTTTCAGATATTGAGGCCACACATTTCATGTGCTGGGTTCTTTTGTAGTTCATAAATGTTCTGCAAATGAGCCAAACTTTTCTTATCCTCAAAAATCTATTCAACTAACCTTTCTGGATATGGAACATCAGTGATGGTCAATGTGGTATCCTCCAGATGTTCTTGGGCTGCAAGTCCCATCAGCCCTAGCCAGTGTTGCCAGCAGTCAGGGATGGGACTTGTAGCCCAACAACATCTGGAGGGCACAACATTGAATACTCCTGTGTTCAATTCCCCTGTGCTGTTTCTTCGTTTTGTTTATAGCCACCCCTCCTCTAAAGGGCAATCTGGGCAGCAAAATACAAGAGATAAAACATTTTTAAAATCTTGTATTATGTCGTCTGATGTAGAGAAATATATATCCTTTAGAACATCCAATTTTCTTACAAAGGCTCTACAAATTTGTGTAACAAAATTTAAAGGGAGTATGGGAAATGATTTATCCCCTAAAAAGGTTGGGGAGTAGAAATGTAAACCACTATTAGTGGCAGCGTTGTTGTTGTTGTTATTTTTATGCATGTAATGGCTGTTTGCTAAAACTGAACTGAATCTTAGTAACAATTCCAATGCAGCTATAGACTGGGAAAGACCTCAACTCAACAGTCTTGTTTAAGGAGGAAGTCTTCAGTAGATGCCAAAAACATAACACAGACACCACCAAACTGATATTCAAGGAAATTCTGAAGGGTAGTTGACACAACACTAACGGCCTGATTTCTACATTGTGCAGAACTGACCTCCTGATAAGATGTGTGCAGAAGGTCCTCACCTGCAGAGAGCAACAATCAATTTGTTATATAAGGGGTGAGATGATCTTTCAGGTTTTACACTTACACAAGTACACACACCATTTATTACGGTGGACGATGAAGTCTTTGGGTTTGGATTGGGCTATTCCTCTCCCACCTAATAAATCTACTGTTCAGGTAAGACCTATCCTTCTTAATATCCCAAACAACATTGTTTCCAATTCATCGTAATACAACACTCAGAAATTTTATATCATTTTAGAAAACACAAGTTGAAAAATACCAATGTGTGATTTGAATTATGTGCTTGTTCTTGTTTTTATTTTGTATTTTTGTTTTGTGAATTGCCCTGGCATCTGCGGATGAAGGGTAGTATACAAATAATAAATAATAATAACAACAACAACATGTGATGACCACAATTTGAACGTATGATTAAAGCAAGCATAGTACAAGCCACAGGAAGTGACCCATCAACCCCTTTAGCTCTATCTTCCAATCTGATTGGAAGATAAAGCATTTTCCTTGCTTTTTAGAGAGTGATCTGTCTGCTCTTTAGAGATAAAGAAGAGGCAGAAATATATTTTATCTGCAATCCTGGTGCTAAGCGCCACAGTGCTAAGATTGGAAATAAAGTCCTTAGCCTGCTCTTTAAAAGGCAGCATTTCTACCTCTAGAATAAATAGAATGCCCTCTGCAGCATTTTCAGCCACACCCACCCCAGCGCTGGAATGAGAGTGCTGAAAATGGTGTGTGTGGGTGTGGGTGTGTGTAGGTGTCTTTATGCACGAGTGTATTACGAGTAGTGATTTCATGTCTGGTGAGTTTGTGCAATGTATGTGTATACTGCATGTATGGAGAATGCGTGAATGTGCAAATGTAACAAGTATGAGTGAGTGGTCTTTATGTATGTATGTGCAATATGTGTATGCACACATATAAACCAACCACATCAACCACTGGGATGCAGACCTCAAAGGGGTGGCTATCCATCAACGTGGCCCCCCCAAAAAGATTAGCTAGTCCTGTTTAATGTTTGTGTTTTTAGAAGCCATATTGTAATATAAATTGTACTCTGGATAGTAGCTGAAAGGTTTAAATAAGCCAAGAACAAGAACAAAGAAGAAATTCTTTTAGTAAAAATACATTTTTTTGCTGCTTGTAAATCAGAAACAAAGATGAATACAGTATGCAGACAACCTCAATAAAATATACTTACCTTAACAGAATCAGTAGCCTGCAGATCAACCACCATATCAAGCAACATATCTGATGCCATGAAATATGGCAGCCAAATGGTGTCATGAAACAACTCCTTGGTAATAGGAAATGGTGCATGAAAAGATTGTGAATGTCTAATAATTGACTGCGCTTCCTGGGTATAGGTCCAAAGGTCTCGGCACACGTTCTGAAGCAACGTCCAGTGGCCACCACGGTAGGCTAGTACCTGGATGGTAAAGTGTCAGATACAAGTCTGATGAGTGGAGCATGGAGATTTCTCAGTGATGCCAGCATTAAAACACAAACCATTTTCTTAAAACTGAGTCCCCAAAAATGGAGAGGGGTCCCTATACATTGGGATGTCTTATAGACGGAAAAATACGGAAACTACTTCTTCATTCTTATTTTTCAATAGAAAAAAGGATACAAACTTCCCTCTACAGTGGTACCTCGGGTTAAGTACTTAATTCGTTCCGGAGGTCTGTACTTAACCTGAAACTGTTCTTAACCTGAAGCACCATTTTAGCTAATGGGGCCTCCTGCTGATGCCGCGCCGCCAGAGCACGATTTCTGTTCTTATCCTGAAGCAAAGTTCTTAACCTGAAGCACTATTTCTGGCTTAGCGGAGTCTGTAACCTGAAGCGTATGTAACCTGAAGTGTATGTAACCTGAGGTACCACTGTATAGCATGCAGACTACCCCACTGAATTCTCAGGCAGCTGAGAACACAAAAATATCCAAGTCATACACAGGAAAATAACTGAGAGGAGGGAAGTTGGCTATTGCTGGAAAGAAATGACAGAAAATAAAAGGAAATAAATAGAGAGAGCAAAGGAGTGCATGTTATCCTTCTATAGCCAAGCAGCCAGACAGTGATTAAAACTACAGCTTTCTGATAATCTTTGTCAGCCATTTCAAGATATATTCATAAAACCTATTCATATTTTACTGGTGTTTTTCCACTTGTACATTCCCAGCTATAATTTCTAACATATTTCCATGCTGCTGATCTAATGCATGTGAAGTGGTGACATTCATTATGAATGCGGCTTCACTTTATGCAACATAACCATTACAGAAATGAGGTTCTGAGCCTACATGGTATTAGGCTGTGCTCAGTAGAACAGCATGTGCTTAGGAAGCTGGACAAGTCCCTTCTAAGTAGAGGTTTGGGCTTTATAGCACTGTGTGCTGTGCTCCCTGAGGGGGCCATTCAGAAAACACAGCACAATCCAATATAAGATTGCATTTACCATATTATTTATGGATGCATTCACTTAGTTAAAGCAAAAGGCAACAAAGTTCTACCTACTGCAAAATAATTCTGGTGTTGCCTTTAAAAGGTTTTAGTAAATACAATAAGAGAAACCAAGAAAAGGAATTCTTCTGATTCCTATTTTAGAAAATATGCACCAGGTACTACTTCCAGCTAGGGAAAAGCTCCTGCTGGTCTGAAAGCTGGCATCTAGGCAACAGGCTATCCAGAAACTCATTATTGGCCTTCCACTTTCTCTAGCGTGAAAATGCTTAGGAGTGTTCTCTGTGTTTGCTAAGGGGCTTCTTGCTGTCTTTCTGACTTCTTCCAGAGATATGTGGGATATGTACAATGCTACAAGCCCCCCCCCCCATTAAAGATGGTGGCCACTAGCCATAGTTCTGGACAGCACTGCCACCTAGGACCACTGTTATTGTTTGCACATCACGGAAAAATGTTCATTGTATGTCAAAATTGTGTTTCCCCTGCTGAAATATGAAAAGGAGGTTTGGGTATTCATAGCTGTTTTCGCCGAAGTATTTGAGGAAGGATCAAATGGTTTTTGAAGTTCTAGTGGGACTCCCTCACTGTTTCAGCAATAAGACGGGGGGGAAATGTGTGCAAAGGTTTATGTGTCACGTAACGAACACTCTCCTCCATGAATTGTTAGGAAAAGAAAAGAGGTAAAATATAAATTAGAGCTAAAAAGTCTTCTAAGTCATCTCTTGGAGGATTCTTGTCCTAACTGACACAAGGAGGGGTTAAGAAGCAAAGATGTGACAAAAGTGAGTGAATGAGTGAAGGGCTGCTGCCAAGCTTTCTCAGACACCTGCTTTAAAGGGTTAGGAAGACCTAGATGATCTGAGCCCTTTCTGCTAGACTACCCTACTGAGATCTGGAATAGAAGAGGAAGTTAATAGAAGTACAAGAAACAAATGTTTGTCTCACCTATTGAAACTGGTAGAGACATTTTAATTCAATAACATAAACACATTAATTCAAGAAGACATTACCGCCGCTCTTCTAAAATGTAGAAAGATTTTAACAAAATGCTCCAGCAAAGATGAATAAGATTGCGCCTTTTCACGTTCTTTTACGGTAACATATCCCTGAGGTAGTCCCTGAGGTCGTGGGGTGTCTTTTTCATCCGGCTTAATGTTGTGATCAGAAAAATATAATGGATCTAAAAACAAACAACATTTGAGTTAAACTGAGGACACATTTTCAAAAACATCAGAATGAGTAATAATAGTTTCCAGATCTGTTAATAAGATGGGCTGCAGGGACTCAACGGTCTTTTGCCAGTACCTTAACCCTTAAGTAGGCCCCAATCCCTACTCCTGAGAAGACCATGTTTAGACATTGCCTGGAGGCTCCCCACCTGTGTTAAAAGAAGCACGATGTGGTCATCTTAACTGTATGCCTGATGGGACGGAAGGAGAACAGCTACAGGGTCTCAACCTTAATGAAAAATGGGAAACAGGGAGCCTCCACAGGAAAGACATAGGAGCTCTGGACCCAAGTCTGTGGAGACCAACAGCCCATAAACCAGTCACCCCAAAAGAGGAGGCCTACATAAGAACTGTACCTACTGTTGAGTGCAACCTGGACATGGTGGAAACTGGCTTGCAACGCCATTGGTTCATCTAAGTCAGTGCTGTTTAGTGACTGGCAGAAGCTTTCCAGCACTTTGGGTAGGAATCTCTCCCAGACCTGCCTGGAGATACCAAATACTGAACCTGAGACCTTCTGCATCTAAAGCAGATGCTCTTCCACTGAGCTACAGACCTCTCTCTATTTACATACTGTGAGAAGTAATCTTTCTTCTCCATAGTTATATTGACTGGTTAATACTGAAGGAACAGTTGCAGTTTATTGTAAATATACAAGAAAGAAACATGCTCGAGAACCTTCTGGAATGTATATAAATAAACACTACACAGGATTTGATTTTAATCAGCACATCTATAATTCAATGAATCACACAAGTTTGGAATGAGTAGACTCTATCATGACCTTGGATCAGGACTCATTGGGGGCTGAGACCTCAGGCAAGTGGAACGCTGTGAAGAGACAGATTCACTTCCCGGTCCATGTTGTGTGGGCCTGCAGGCACCAGAGACCACATCCCTTCATCTGAGAAGACATCTCTGCTGCCAGACATAGATGGCTAAACCAGACATTCCTTGGGAGGAAAGATCCCCACAACTAGAAATACCATTACCCCAAAAGGAGCTAACAGCTACAGAAAGCGACATCAGCCCTCAGCTTGGACATCTGGCCTCAACTGCAAAAGGTCTGCCTCATGCCTTCTCTGGTGGGCACTCCCATGATCATGACAGACTCTGTATCTTTCTGAGATCATATCCGCCCCCCTCCAAGCTGAGTGTTAAATGTTGTGGGGCTCAGAATGACAGCACTGAGGGCCAGGTGTCAGTTCCTCTGATGAGGCCATCTGGTAAGAGAAAGGAACTGAAGGTGTATCAGAACAGTTAGCAGAACCCTCTAGATGACTATGGAGAAACTGCCATTTTCCCCTTTCTCCTACATAGCATTCTGGTCCATTGATGCTCTTTATTTAGTCTTGTCCACCATATCACCAAGGAAAGCAAGTTGATGGCTTTTTTTACTATGTTTTTTTATAACATGTGCTGACATCCTTGTATGCTCTTCAGCTTGTCCTGTTCCACAATGCCTTACATATGCTCCTTTATGCATTGACAACTTCTATTTTTGAATCCTCATCTATCCAAAGACTTGGCAATCACCTGATCTCATCCTCATCTGATGCCTGAGACTTAAGCTTAGAACCTGACAGAGAAATGGAGCACCTGACAATATAGCGAGTCCTTAGATGGAACTTCTGCAAAAGTAGTAGGTTAGTGAAGTATTTGCTGGGAAATCCTTATGCCTCAGATCACAGAACCGCTCAACATCTGTTAGACATTTGGCCAATATGTAGTAACCCACCTGAATCTGAGGCAGAAGATGACAGCTGGGAAAGATCAGTGGGATCCGTTGTGGCATCAGTTTCAGGGGTGAGACAATGACTGTGGTCAAGTAGGCTTGAGCTGGAAACAGCATCTGAAGAAGCACTTTGTAAAGTGGGGTCAGAAGCAGGCATGGAAGGACCAGAATCGAAGACAGGGGAGGTGGAATCAAGTGTGTCTGAGCAAAGAAGAGCAAGGAAGTCTTGACTTGCTATGAGCTGTTGGCTGCAGAATATTCAGGGCTGGTATTTTCGAGATTCCAGAATTGTGTAAGTACCCTTAGCTTATCAAAAGGACACACTAGAAGTCCATCTGAAAAACCAGTGACAGGTCCTACCATATTTCACAGCTGCACTGGTGGCTGAATGCACTGTTCTTGCACTGAATGACTGGGCTTCTGATTCCCTAGCTTACGCCTGACAAGTGATGCAAGAGGAAGACAGGGCTGCATCTGCTGCAGTGGACGTCAACAGATGTGGAAAGGCTATTCGAGCCTATGAAATGCAACAAGGAGACACTGGAATTGTGTTTTCCTTTTGCCATTACACCAGGCAGCCCTGGAAACCCTCATAAAAGAAAGGCAGGACTGGAGCAGCAAACTGTGAAACCAAGAAAGCTCACTTAAACTAAAGATGGTATTGATAGGCTTGTTTAAAAGCCATCAATTGTCAGGATGAATAATTGTGTTCTGATCTAAACCCTATTCCTTTCAGAGGAAGATTTTGAAGAGGTTGAATTATTTTAAACATATGATCATAACTGACTACATAACTACGTGCTTATGCACACAGACACAAGCAATAAACAAACAGATCAATACTAGATCAATTCTCTGGAGTCAATTGCAGTGTTTTTCATTCTGTATTTTATGGCTGTTCTGAAGAATTCATCAGCCATTTTGTCAAGTTAGCCACAAGGAATATTCTGACTCTTGCTAAGCCTCCAAATCAATCAGTCTCCAAATAGCAAATAAACTGATGCTTGCAGTCCATTAGGTTCCATTTTCCACCACCAACCCAGTTTGATAACAAAATGCACCGAATCACCAAATCAAAAGTTAGCAAAATAATATGGAGAGACACCCTTTTATTTTGTTTGCTTCTGTCTTCACATTACTCCTAAACTGGACAAAAATGGAAGTGTTGTTCTCAACAGTGTGAACTAGAAATACAAAAAGAATAACCACATATGAACATGCAACGGAATAAGAAAGATATAAGGATTACATGAATAACAGACTAAACAAGGTGAAGATTTGTGCTTTCCAATTTTGTTCTATTAAGCACACTTAAGATTTCCTCTGGCGGTACTGTCTTCAAGCTTGGAGCACTGCAGTTCAGGAAGCAACTAACAGGAGGAAATGGTCACGTTTTAGCTGGGGTGGGAATCAAGTGAGAGAGAGAATGTTAAGCATGCAGACCGTTTTCAAATATTTATAAGAATGTCAGAAAGAAGAGGAAAATTTGCTCACCAGTCCCTAAGGATAGACAATGTGATTAAAATGACATGTCTTAAGACCAGTCATTGAGAAAAATCTAAACCTAAACAGCAAAGGAACAAGCTCCTTAAAGAGGCTGTACAAACCCTTCTTTGTATGCATTGTTTTTTAGGATTGCTTTAGATTAGGAATTGAGTATGACCTACTGGGTCCATTTCCACTCTGATTAAATACCTATGTCATAAAAGGACTATCCCATGGTCCATCGGTATCTCTAGGCCATGTCTGGGACAGACAGGCAGAATCAGACAGACAGGTAGAATTAAGATAGAAACTTGGGACAGATGGGCTGGATAGAACTTCAGTAAGAATTGCAAGGCAGGCAATCAAAACAGGATCAATAACTTAAATCCTAGAAGCAGCAGCAATAGCATTGAAGTCAAGAAAGCAGACGTTATTAGAAACACCAGGCATATTTGGAGCAAGAGTCCCAAGAACAGATATAGAACTAATAGTGGTATGTGATACACCTCAAACTACAGGGCATCAGAACAGAGTGGATGAAGGCTTAGAGGAGGAGGTCAGGGGTGCACAATATAAAGTACTGGCTAAGACAGACAAAAGAGACACAGGGGAAGGAATACATGTGGAGCTCATGCAAAACTAACTGTGCCAATTGGTCAGCAGCAAGATAAAATGTCTGTGAATTTTGAAAAGCCAGGACTTGGGTGCACAACAATGCAGAAGATATTTCACCATGCAATCAAACTAAGCCCGCCCACCATCAGCATCTGCATTCACTTCAGTAACACTAAGTACTAATAATGCATTAGTTTTGCCACTGGCTCAATGCTTGCAATCAAGAGAATCAACAGCTAACCCAAATAATAGTGGCTGTTGGCATAACCCGAAATAAATTTCTCCTGGAGAATATTTCATCAGATAGGTAGCTACTGCCATCTGTCAACCACAGGCAGAAAATGCAGAGTTCAGGAAGCAGGTTGCCTCACTGTATGCAGAGACCACAGTCCATTTTGTCTCAAAGATTTCTCCAAGAAGAGCATGGCGACAGACAAATAAAAATAAGAATATAAGAAAGTGCAAAATACTGCAAATAGGCAAAAATACACAAGAACTACTTCTCTGACATATAAAAGGAACTGAACAATTTTGACAATTTGAAAAGCTAAAAACAAATAACACTGCAAGAAAAAAGAACATTGCAATAAAATAAATAAAAATCAGAAAGCCAATCTATCCACATAAAAGAGGATCTTAGGAGAAATTTCTTACACATAAGGCCAACAGCCCCTTCTTTCTGAAAGATAGTCTATCAGATGGGAATATAGGAAACTAACAACCCTTGACACACAGAAACCCAAACCTGCCAATAAGGAGAAGGAAGAAGACCAAAAGCTGACAGAAAAAATACCCAAACATGTTCAAAATCACTCAGAAACTGACTAAGGATAACAACAAGCAGGAAAGAACAGGGAAGCACAAAATAGTTCAAAAAATGAGAGTAATAATGAGGGAGAAGAAATAGAACTGCCTAGAAGGGCAACAGGAAATGGGGGGGGGAGTGTCTGCCTACAGCAAGGCAACCACCTCCCTCAACACTGCATTTCCTGCCCCTGGGTGACAGATGACAGTATCTACCCATCTGCTGGACTACACTCTAGGGAGAATGTTGTTTTAAATTCATTCTATAAGAAATACAAATTCAAAAAAAAATCCATTATGAAACCAATAGTTACTGTTCTATGTCCTAATTGTTTGGACAAGAACAGGAGAGAAGGTTGATGGATTTTAACATGTAAGATTACAATTATCTTGTTACTGCGTATTTTTAATTTAATTACCATTTTTTTTACGGATTTTTCCTGATATTGTTCTCTTAAAAAAGGGAAGTTGAAAAGTCTTCAGTTGCTCCTCTCTTGTTGCTGCCACCACTATAGTGCCTGAATTGATTAATGAGAATGCGTCCGGGTCTAATTCATGATAACTGCAAAACAAAACATTTCATTATTTAAGAAGAGCAAGCAAGAGATATCAAATACATAAAAACTAACAATATTGCAACTTTACTATTCTGCAAATACTTTTGAAGTCTTCTTTTTATATTTACAGCACTATGCTGAATGCTTCAGTTAATTCCTGCTTTCATGTGACCTTTCCCACCCAGTGTGGATTATCTGGTGAAGCCGTGCGCCATGGCCCATGGGCCTTCTTGGTAGCTGCTCCCAGACTCTGCAACACCCTTCCTAGAGAAACGAGACTGGCTCCCTCTTTGTTGTCCTTCTACCAGACTTTCTTGTTCCAACAGGCTTTTGGGAACTGACAGCTGTGCTGTTTTTATTGT